GCACCGCACAGATAAACTCTGCTCCCACATACTGGAAAATGACCAGTCAGAGTGAGAATCAGCTGCAATCTGGATGTTCGTTTATAACCTGTTGGAACACCAGCATCATACATTATAGTACTTAGGTGGAGCGTTGTAATGGTAATGGCTTTTGCCCAGCTCCACAGCCAGAGCTTCCAGTCTCTCTGGCTGATCCAGTCTGGCCACACTTTTCTCAATAAACGACATCACCCTGAGAGGAGGAGAAAGAAAAAAGGGGGCATTGACTCAGCCTGACCGATCTACCGGTAAAGAGATAATTAATAACAGAAAAATAGAAAATGGTTTTGTTTTGATTGGATCAGCAGCCTCGTAGATCCTAATGCCCAGACCATGAAAAAAAAAGTCTGGCTCAAACTAATTGGACATTTACTCCCTCCAGGATCGATCTCCTTTATTGTTTAGTGGTGGGTGTGTCTGAGCTTCAGCATCTTTTCTTTCATTGTGATTGTGCACATCTGTGCAGATGTTAGAGTGCATCTGAAGGATAGCTTTGCCTCGTTGCTGAATTTAGGAGAACAAAAATTATCTTCTCATGCCTCTCCTTGTAGATTATAATTAGCTGATTGGTCTTCGTGTGCAGATAAATTCATAGAAGCTTGATGCACACATGAACACATCACGCAGCTGCTTGTGATGGATTCAGCCAATTATTTCTGCTGCAGACGGGGAGCAATGTTATAAGAACACTTGACATACTGCTGCTACTTCTTTAATGGTTTGTGTCTTTGACATCAGTATGCAGCATCTTCTTTAGTAATTAACAAAACATGTTTTTGTTTGTGCAAACAGGGAATGTAACGATCCCTATGAGTCAAGATGTCAACAAGCTCTGGTCGAAGTTGTGATTTCGTTTACTGACCGCAGGCCATGTGCCCTGAGTTCCCGGTTCGTCCTCACCTCTCCAGGTCCTCCACGTCTCGGAACAGGAAGAAGACATCCTTGCATTCGGGATGGGTCTCAAACAACCTGTTGCCAAGACAACAGCAGCAGAAGCAACCATCCATGAGCCTCTAAGAGTCGCAAATGAAGCCGCCTGTTTCAGCCATTCCCCCCACCAAAACAAAACTCCCAACCATGACGAGGAAACCTCCTGGTGCTCCAGGATAGATGGAAACGTGTTAAATATGCAGAATTAAAAACAAACAAACATTTTGATCAGTTGTTTCCTTCAAATGGATATGAGATATTTCTGATCTTCAGCCGTTTCTTCAACCAGGAGCTGCAATCAGAAACTGGAGACTAATGACAACCCAGCCCTTATGTCCCTCCACTGGTTTTTGACCTCAGCTGATTTCCTTTACCACAGAAAATCCTTTTCAGATGAGAAATATTTCAAACGTTACTGTATTTCAGATCAGTGTTAATGAATCACGAATTCTTAACAACTATAGTCTTTTATTTGTTGCTTTATTCCTCGTGGCCTGCTGCTGAAGGACCTGCACTCTTGAATCTGAAATTGGCCCCATGAATAAATGCATCACATTTCCACAACATGTGGCCCTTTGGTAAATGAAAAGAAGGATAAGTGGAGGTTTTAGGTGAGAGAGAGATGCTAGCTTCTGAAAACACCAAAACGTGCAGCTCCATGTGGGTCGGATCACAGGGAGACTGATGGGAAAACAGCTACGGACATGAGCCACCTTCTGCATGAAGATGTTCTCATATTTTATGCAGAAGTTCACATCATGTCAACCTGATGTGTCCCTAATTTGATTTGTGCGTTTACTGTTGTTGTCGTCGTCTTCCTCCGCTTAACCGGGTCGCGGGGGCAGCATCCCAACTAGGGAGCTCCAGACCGTCCTCTCCCCAGCCACCTCCACCAGCTCCTCCAGCAGGACCCCAAGGCGTTCCTGGACCAGATTGGAGATGTAACCTCTCCAACGTGTCCTGGGTCGACCCGGGGGCCTCCTGCCGGCAGGACATGCCCGAAACACCTTCCCAGGGAGGCATCCTGACCAGAAGCCCAAACCACCTCAACTGACTCCTTTCGATCCGGAGGAGCAGCGGTTCTACTCCGAGTCCCTCCCGAATGTCCGAGCTCCTCACCCTATCTCTAAGGCTTGAGCCCGGCCACCCTACGGAGGAAACTCATTTCGGCCGCTTGTATCCGCGATCTCGTTCTTTCGGTCATTACCCAAAGCTCATGACCACAGGTGAGGATTGGGACGTAGATCGACCGGTAAATCGAGAGCCTGGCTTTCTGGCTCAGCTCCCTCTTCACCATGAGTGATCGGCTCAGCGTCTGCATCACTGCAGACGCCGAGCCAATCCGCCTGTCGATCTCCCGATCCCTCCTACCCTCACTCGTGAACAAGACCCCGAGATACTTAAACTCCTCCACTTGAGGTAGGACCTCTCTCCCGACCCAGAGTTGGCAAGCCACCCTTTACTGGTAGAGAACCATGGTCTCAGATTTGGAGGTGCTGATCCTCATCCCAGCCGCTTCACACTCGGCCGCGAACCTACCCAGCAAGAGCTGAAGGTCAGAGCTATATGAAGCTAGGAGGACCACATCATCCGCAAAAAGCAGAGATGAGATTCTCCTGCCACCAAACTCGACACACTCCACACCACGGCTGCGCCTAGAAATCCTGTCCATAAAGGTAATGAACAGAACCGGTGACAAAGGGCAGCCCTGGCAGAGTCCAACCCTCACCGGGAACAGGTCCGACTTACTACCGGCTATGCGGACCAAACTCACGCTCCTCTGGTAAAGGGACTGAATGGCCCTTAACAGAAAGCCACCCACCCCATACTCCTGGAGCGTCCCCCACAGGGTGCCCCTGGGGACACGGTCATAAGCCTTCTCCAAATCCACAAAGCACATGTGGATTGGTATGGGCAAACTCCCATGCCCCCTCCATCACCCTTGCAAGGGTATTGAGCTGGTCCACAGTTCCACGGCCAGGACGAAAACCACATTGCTCCTCCTCAATCTGAGATTCAACTATCGATCGGAGCCTCCTCTCCAGTACCTTGGAGTAGACCTTTCCACCGAGGCTGAGGAGTGTGATCCCCCTATAGTTAGAACACACCCTCAGGTCACCCTTCTTAAAGATGGGGACCACCACCCGGTCTGCCACTCCACAGGAACTGCCCCCGATGACCACGCAATGTTGCAGAGACGTGTCAACCACGACAGCCCTACAACATCCATAGCCTTGAGATACCCAGGACGAATCTCATCCACCCCCGGGGCTCCGCTGCTGTGTAGTTGTTTGACTACCTCAGCAACTTCTGCCCCCGAGATTGAACAGTCCATCCGCAGGTCTCCCAGCTCTGGCTCCTCCTCAGATTGCGCATAGGTGGGATTGAGGAGCTCCTCAAAGTATTCCTTCCACCGTCCGACTATAGCCCCAGTTGACGTCAGCAGCTCCCCATCCCCACTGTAAACAGTGTGAGCGAGTTGCTGCCTTCCTCTCCTGAGGCGCAGGACAGTTTGCCAGAACCTCTTTGACGCCGATCGATAGTCTTTCTCCATGGCCTCACCAAACTCCTCCCACGCCCGAGATTTTGCCTCGGCAACTGCCACTGCTGCACCCCGATTGGCTATCTGGTACCTGTCTGCTGCCTCCGGAGACCCACAGGCCAGCCACACCCTGTAGGCCTCCTTCTTCAGCCTGACAGCTCCCCGAACCTCTGGTGTCCACCAGCGGGTACGGGGGTTGCCACCACGACTGGCACCGGCCAGCTTGCGACCACAGCTAGCAACAGCCGCCTCAACAATCGCAGAGTGGAACAAGGCCCACTCAGAGTCGATGTCCCCCACTGCTCTCGGGACGCGGTCAAAGCTCTGCCGGAGGTGGGAGTTGAAGACCGTCTTGACAGGTTCTTCTGCCAAGCATTCCCAGCAGATCCTCACTATGCGTTTGGGTTTGCCAGGTCTACGTGGCATCTTCCGCTGCCATCTGATCCAACTCACCACCAGGTGGTGATCAGTTGACAGCTCCGCTCCTCTCTTCACTCAGGTGTCCAAAACATACGGCCGCAGGTCAGATGATACGACTACAAAGTCTATCATCGACCTGCGACCTAGGCTGCCCTGGTACCAAGTGTACTGATGGGCATCCTTATGTTCGAACATGGTGTTCGTTATGGCCAAACTGCGGCTTGCACAGAAGCCCAATAACGAAACACCACTTGAGTTCAGATCAAGCGGGCCGTTCCTCCCAATCACACCCCTCCAGGTCATGCTGTCATTGCCCACGGGAGCATTGAAGTCCCCCAGCAGGACAATGGAGTCCCCTGATGGAGCACTATCTAGCACTCGTCCCAGGGACTCCAAAAAGGTGGGTACTCTGAACTGATATTTGGCCCATAAGCACAAACAACAGTCAGGACCCGTTCCCCGACCCGAAGGCGCAAGGAAGCTACCCTCTCGTCCCCCGGGGTAAACCCCAACACACAGGCAGAGAGTCTTGGGGCTAACAAAAAGCCAGCCCCAGCCCTCCGCCTCTCACCTGGAGCAACTCCAGCAAAGGAGAGTATCCAACCCTTCTCAAGGACTTGGGTTCCAGAGCCAATGCTATGTGTTGAGGTGAGTCCGACTATATCTAGCCGGTACCGCTCAACCTCTGCCACAAGCTCCTGCTCCTTCCCCGCCAGCGAGGTGACGTTCCATGTCTCAATAACCAGTTTCCTTGTCCGGGGATCATACCGCCAAGGCTCCCGCCTCGGTCTGCCACCCGATCCACACTGCACCGGACCCTTCATGTTCCTCCTGCGGGTGGTGGGTCCACAGTTGAATGAGCCCATGTATCCAGTTCGGGCTGGGCCCGGCCGGGCCCCATGGGCGAAAGCCCGGCCACCAGGCACTCGCTCACGGGTCCCAACCCCAGGCCTGGCTCCAGGGTGGGACCCCGGTAACCCTCCGGGCCGGGTACTCCAACTCTTTGAATTTACGTCCATGAAAGATCTTCTGAACCGTTCTTTGTCTCACCCTTCACCTAAGACCATTTGTCATGGGAGACCCTACCAGGGGCACAAAGTGCCCCAGACAACATAGCTCCTAGGATCATTAGAGCACTCAAACTCCTCCACCACGATAAGGTGACGGTGCAAGGAGGAGTTTACGGTTTCAATCACATGAATAAAAGGAGGTTTTGTTAGCTGTGTCGTTAGCTGGAGCTTGACAGAAATGCAAATAATTGCTTACATATGTTCAAAATGTATTCATGAATTAATAATAAAAACTTACCATCAAATGCAATAATTTGGATGTGTAATCTAGTTGTTTTGATTTTTTTAATGCATTGAAGTTAATATTACATTTCTGTTATTTTTTATGCGCACCATCTAAATCACAACATAAAAAAGGGCGAAAAGCGAATTTAGGAAAACATATGTTTAGTAATACTTAAAAACGTAATAGTTATTCTCATATTTCATAATCTAAAGTCACATTTTCCCCACAATTATTTAAGAAATTGTAATGTTATGTCTAAATGACCCCCTCCCCCCCCAAAAAAAAAAAATACAACACACACGCAATGTGTTTTTTAATCTAAATATGTGGAACCAAGTCGGAAACTACAAAGAAAATAAAAAAAATGTATAATTTAAATGCACATGAATTCATACAACCTTAATATTTGTGTTTAACTCTTTCTATTCAGACCTGATTTGGTTTACTTTGGTTTAACCTGTTGACCTTACTTTTAAAATCAGCGCTCCATACCCAATGGCCTACACTCTCACCAGCCCAGAAGTGTGTAGAGCTCTTATTATTTTCCACTATTGTTTGTTCCTCTCGTGAACACATGTGCACGCGCACTCGAAACATCTGCAGACTATGTTGCACCCTAAATAGCTGAAGTGGGATTCTAATTAGCCCCGCATACAGGTTGCATCCAGTCCAATTCTGTTATTCACAATCATTTGGAGCGTGTTTTATTGTTCACTCATAAAATATAAAATATCATAGTAGTCAAACAGTTTAGCTGCTAGGGTCATCAAGAGGTCAGGAGGCATTTTCTGGCCTGTAAACTGTTTGCCTTTTTACACCAGAGATTAACAGTTTATCACATTTTCCATCCTTTTTTATTATTTGCTTAATTTTCCTGTGAAATGAGGTTTTCCCGGAAGCTGGCCATCATCATAACTGACGCAAATGAGCTTTCCTGATGGCTAATTCCTTTAAGTCCATACAGCAGACCAGGAGCTCTGTTTTATGATACAATGATGTTCAGTTATGAGTTATGATATGAAGTGATGGGGGGGGGGGGGGGGGGGGGGTAGCTCCAGTCCACATGTGAGAAGCTGCTGGTCAGAATGATGGTTAGTTTGTGACCCTCCAGGGACCCTCTTCTCCAGGGTCAGGAGGTCAAATGTTTCTGAAGCTGTCTTTCATTTTAAGACCCGATAATGAAATAGATTTTTTTAACGGCCAAATTAATCTTTTTTTTTAATTATTAAAAAAATGTTTTCTGCAAGATTGAACATTCCTCTTAGAATTCCTTTTCCAGAACTGAACACGCGTAGGATGGAGATGCCTTGCTGAGAATCTTACCTGACAAACATAATAATTCCAACTTTGGCGATGTCATCCCGGATAACTTTCCACGAATCCTTGATAATCTGGATCTGCTCCTCGCTGGGATGCGCAGCAGCATCCTCCTCTCCGTCCTTCAGCGCAAACTCTGATTTTGTTGCCAGACCTGAAATCGCGCAGCCCATTATTCATCCAGAACAAACGAGGCGGTCAGGATTGGGTTCCGATCCTGGAGCAGAAAGAGGAAGGAGGCGTTTGAACTCTTCTGCACCGGAGAGAAAACCCACTGCTGGTGGTGCTGAACTCTCCAAACGCCAGCTGCATCACGGACAATTTGGAACAGACGGGATGGAAGGACCAGGTCAAAATTCAGAATAAAAGTCAAAAACAGAACGCAGCTGACGGATGCGCGTTTCAGGAAGCGCCAATGCTTTTATTTTGAAGAGAACTCCGTTTACTTGCGGTAAGTTATTGACTTTGCGCAGCTTTTCTAATGGTTATTCAACTCAGGTGTAAAATAATCAATTAAGGCGCAAAATGTGCGCTCTGTCATTTTAAGAGAAATGTGCAAAAAATTTATAATAATTAAAAATACTTTTTTGCTTTTCAACATTTAGAATGAAGCATGTCTCACTTTTAAAACATCTGGGTGTTTTATCATAAACGTAAAACTATATGACACTTCTAACGGTGGATTTTTACATAAACTCAACTTTCCTTGTTTAAAATGGTTTGGTGGTTTTTGGTGACTTACAATTTTGTTTGTTTTAATGTAGGTTTTGTGTTAGATTTAGTAAACAAGTAAAACTTACTTGTATAAAGGGGTAGGGACATATAAGTTTCCACTTCAGCCTACTCCTTTTCAAACAGAGAAGAAGGGATGATGATATGTATTTTTTCAGTTTGTGGTATTTAAAAAAAATGTGTTTTCTGTTTGAAATAAACTAAACTAAAAAAAAAAAAACGTGTCCACAAACTGTAACCCTGTGGGTGTTTAATAAGGTAGAGCAATAGTTTAAATTGGGATGTCCACAGCATGAAAAACAAAAAAGTATATAAATGGTCCTTTTTTCTTTATTTGTTACAGTAAGGATTAGTTTTAGGGTGCATATTTTTATTAGGTTAATGCAACAATTTTTATTCCAACATCCTCATTCTGTAGACCATTTCAGTTAGGTCGAGTGCACTCGTCAGTCCTAGTTAAGCTGCAGGTCAAACCGGTAAGGAAGCTCCTCGTGCCTGCACTTAGGAAACATCTGTTAAAAGAAGTAAAAGAAGGAAAGAGAACACTTAAAGAACAGAAATCTGCAAACACGCAAACTTGTGGAACTTGGCGTTTACATTTTTTTATTGAAAATATGAGAATCTGCACATATGAAACAATTCTGCAGCTAAAATGTAAAAACGAGTGGCTGTGAATCCAGTATTTACACTGTAAATCTAACCAAACGTGGAGACTTATAAATAATTTATGAAAATATACAACTTCCTGACACAAAAAACGCTCCAGTGATGTTTTAAAGTGTTTTACAAGCAGCTTAGGTAAATGTAGAAACAGTTTCCTTTTGTTTTTGTGCCTTAAAAGCCAGCAAACGCTGATCGGCGTATCTTTGGTGTGCGATCACAGACGCTGAGAGCAGCGAGGATGAAGATGACGCACGCGGATGGAAGGATGAAGAACAGGAGAATTCATGTTTAAACTGTAAATGTGCATTACGTTATTTATAAAACAGTATTCTTTCATGGAAATCTCCCCATAAACATTTCTTTTTTAGGTTACACCAATGCCGACATCATTACCCACAACCCCCTGTGCTAAAAACACCATGCAGTCAGTTAAAGGGAGTATAACAGATGAAAGTATCAGGTAACAGGCAGATGTTTCCAGATGTGTGATTTCCTGATATGAAGACACGTTCATCAGCTCGTGCTTAAACTTTGAAACTTCTCCCGTAAATTTTTCACACGAAAACTTTCGGAGGACTTGGTGCCGTTAGGTCCCTCCTGGAGGGGACTGCCCTCACTGTGGACTCTGGAAAGTGGAAGGCAAGTCCGCACAGGTTCCTGGAAGTTCTGGACTTCATGGAGGGACAGCGAGCCAAATACGTGGTCCAAGGAGCTCCACCTGCACAGCAGGGAACGTGTGTGGTGCGGAGGCCCACCCTCCAACAGAAAATGCCCGTCTAGCTGCTTCCTGCAGCCGTCTGTCTGAACTCTGTGGAGGTCTGAGGAGCTGCTGTACTTCTGAGAGCAGCCGTTACACCTGGTTCTGTTTGGGACCGCACACACACACGTGGGTTTTAGAGAGCGGTCTGCGTATTTGGAGCGCAGCTCCTGAACGTCAGGCCAGTGGAAGCTCTCGGAGTCGGAGCTCGTGGTGGACTGGGAGCTGGGAATCTGGACAGGACTTGGAGGATGCACTTCATCAATGACTTCCTGTTTATTCATCGGTTCTCTCAGGTTGAGATTATCTGAACAGGAAGAAAAATAATTCGTTTTAAATTTACAAAACAATAAAATGCTTAAAAAAATAAATAAATGTGATTTTTTTTACCCATTTCCCTCATCTTTTCCTCGTGGACACCTGGGATGTCCTGGAGGCTTTCCTGATTGGCTGTGTGACGGCTCCGAGGCCAGACTAAGGGCCTGTTTTTAAGGCGCTGGCTGTACTGACGGGCTAACTGGAACACCTTGTTCTTCATCTTTCCGATGTCTTGTAGGATCTGGTCTTCATCTATGCTGGTTCTGAATCGAATGATCTTGGGTAAAAGGGCGGGGCTAAAGTGTCCATCTTCCTGATTAGAGTCCCGATCAGATCCCCCCTCCACCATCAAGGAGCTCGTGTTAGGTGACAACACTGAGGCGCCTTCAGAGGCAGAGCTCATTTCAGACTCTTCTAAAATCAAAGATGGCTGCTTTTTGATTTCAGCATCTGAAATTTCCGAGCCGTTATCCTGAATAAATTCTAAATTTGAGTCGTTCACTTTCTCTTCCACGCTCTCGTCCTCCATTTCCATGACTTCCCAAACCTTCAGCATGTTGGCCGATGACCTAAACTCTTTTTCTGCTGCGACACCATGAGACGCAGCCACCGGGCTCTGTGGTTTGTGACCGTTTTCTAACCCAGGAAGGTTAAACACAGACCAGGACGTGGGCCTGTTTCGACAGAGGCCTTTCCTGTGGACTGGGCCGACCTTCTCCTGAGGAATATCGTTGATCTTCCGACTCAGCTGCCTCACCAGACCGGCTGGAATGTAGGACAGACTTTCCCTGCGCTTGACGCTGAAGCTAGCGTCTTGGTGCTCCGCCTGCTCATAGTATTGTTTGATTTTGTGGATGAGGAGGCGATCTTTTTTGGAGAGGGTGGACACGCGCTCCCCTTCACGTGGATCGGATGAGAACACAGAACATGACGCGTGTTCTGAGGTTACATGTGGTTCTGTTGAGGGGCTAGCCACCATTTGGGTCAGCTTATCCAAAACACAAGCCGAGGGGCTTTGGAAGACCTCGTTATCTACAGGCAGAGAAGGACAAGTGGGGGAACCGAGGTCCTCAGACACTAGACTGCTCCATCTGGACAGGCTGCTGATGAAGCGCTCGGCTAGCACGCCTGCCTGGTCCAACACGGACGAAGGCAGGATGCTTTTACGACCTGAAAGCATCTCCTCGTCCTCCTCTGACAGCTCACTATTAACGGACACGGTCGTCTCCTCCACTTGGAGACCAGAGGAGTCGCTCCCTCCCTCTTCTTCTCCTGTTTCTCCAGAGGTTTCCAGACATTCTGGAGTTTGGGGTTCTTCTATGTGGTGGGACGTCGGAGACTCAGGACACTGGGTGCCATTCACATCCAGCAGGATACTCCTTTCTCCTTGATGGCACACCTCCTGCATACTGGCCTGAAAAATGACAAGAGTGTTTGTAAAGTGGAAAATAATAAGAAAAAGATGCATTTTAATAATGAGTACTCTTCATCCTCCTTTAGTTTAACGGTCTTTTTTTAAATCATCTTAGTGCTTCGATCTAAAGGATCCACAATTTATGCAGCTTCATCTCGTTACGCCCTCCGGAGTTTTATTGTCTCCCACAGGAGACGACAGAGCCCCAGCCTGCTCCTGGAGGCTCCAACTGGGCCGCCGTTATCCTGAGTGAGTTCAGCTGTTCCTTCAACGCCGTTCATCTTGCCGGTGTCACCCCGGCACGCCATTAATCTGACTTTGTGTCGAGGTGTTGTCTGCTCATCTGGAGCGGCCGCAAATAGCAAAAAAAAAAAAAAAGTGCAGCTCGGAGCCGTTTGGTGCAGATAAGGTTAGGGAGAATAAATACCTACTCAGAATGTAGCTGGCCTCCAAATCAAATGCCGCCTTTACTCAGGGAGAGAGAGGATGGTGGGTGTGTGTGGGTGTAGGATAACAATGTGTGTGCGGTGCTTTCATTTTCTGAACAAATATACAGCGAGCAGACACGATTCAGATAGGTTTTGGACAAATGCGCTCATGGCAAAAGGGCGCCTGTTTGGTAGGAAGCAGCTTTTTCAAATGGAATGTGAGTCGTCCGACTCTCATTCAGGATAATAGAGAAAAATGTGAAAGTTTCCTTTAAATTATCCAGCGGCTGTGAGGCAGAGGGGTAACGTGTCACATGTGGCCTCAGAGACGCGGAGGATGTTTGTATAAACATTATATCTGTACCTGTGTAACGAGAGTTTCTTTCACCGCCACAAGCTCGCCGTTTTCCTCCTGCCTGCAAGTTTCCAACTCCTCCGCTGGAGTTTTTAGCTCAACACCACTGATCTGATCCTCCTAAAGGCACAAAAGCAAAGAAAAACATCTCTTAGGTTTATTTCACACAATAAACGTCATTAATGTTCAGAAACAATACAGCTTGAACAAACTAATTATCATTATTCTGTAATGATTATCAAAGGAAAAAGGCTCTTATGATATTTAATCAGACCTTTGAAGTGAAACGTTTCACTGAACCAATCAAGTCATTGTTTCTTATGCAAATGCAGCAAGTCAATCAAGTAAAAAACAAAATAAAGATTAACGTAGAAAAGGCAACACACAGATGAGCGAGTTTAAAAGTAAAACTAAACGTATACGTGCATCATGCATAGGTCTTAAATTTAACACGTAAGCAGTGGCGACCCTAAAAAATGTCCATGGGGGCCCGGTGATCATTTTGAGGTGGCACACCATTCGATACCTGTGGCAACTCTGCATTGATCTATCATTCTTTTTCATAAAAAACAACAGGCCTATTCATCTGACTCGCTTACCTCAATGTTGGGGAACAAACAATTCAGAAAAACATCAGTTATTGTTTCTGGATTTTTAAAACCGTTTATTTACCCGTTGCTTAAAAAAAATAAAAAACATCCACCATTACTTTTTTGTGGGGGGGGGGGGGGGGGGGGTGAGCCTCAGCGACATTCAAATTTAAAATTTAAGTTATTAACTATTTTTCTTATTATTTTATTAAAATAAATTTATTTATTGGCTTTAACATTTATGTCTTGATTAACGATGAATGAATGGTTTGTGTGCACGAGTGTGACTTATTAATGATAAATAATCCGCACTTGTATAGCACCTCTCAGAGTAAGGACTCCAAAGCGCTTTACACTACAGTGTAACATTCATCCATTCACACACACACACTGATGGTGATGAGCTACGATGTAGCCACAGCTGCCCTGGGGCGCACTGACAGAGGCGAGGCTGCCGACCACTGGCGCCACTGGTCCCTCCGACCACCACCAGCAGGCAATGTGGGTTAAGTGTCTTGCCCAAGGACACAACGACAGCGACAGACTGAGCGGGGCTCGAACCTGCAACCTTCCGATTACGGGGCGAGCACTTAACTCCTGTGCCACCGTCGCCCAACTAAGGGGGGTGGAGGTTGGTATTCCCTGGACGGGCCAATGGGGTGGACAACAATTTTCCAGGGTTGGCTGTGGCCCCCTTATCCACCTTTTGGGGGGCACCACTGCCCTAGCTTAGCTGTTGACAGTTTATTTTATTATTTTTTTTTTACACATCCATGCACCTCAGGAGCATCAATTCATTCTGGTCGCTTCAGATTTTGCTCATACAATTGGTTGTTAATGGTTATGAGGAAAGGAAATGAAGATGGGAGAAAAAGTTGAGCGTTAAGTTCATGTGAGCGAGTGGATCATAGCAGGAATTAGAAACCCACAGGTGGCAGAAACCCTCACCGTTGTGAAATGAGCAGAAAGCAAAGCCCTGGCTCTATAGTGCCAGCAGGAGATGGCTGCTAGCACTGAGCTGGCAAAGTCGGCTACCTGGTCGCCTCCCATCAGTACATCTTCCTGCTTCTCCAACACTTCCTCCTCACTGGGCAATGATTTCAGGTTAGGGGCACTCTCAGTTGGACTTAGCTGCTCCTGAGAGTCACCTCTGGTTGTTAGATCATCCACACTTGACCCCTCACCCTCAGGCTCACCCAGACTGGAGGCGAGTGTACTGATACTACTGGCAGGCTGGAGGGAGCACCCGTCTCCCAGCAGTGCACCATCACTGTCAGCATGCTGTAGCGTGAAGTCATAGACATGAGTTTTGTTATTGTAAAGGCTTGTGTTAGAGCCAACATGTGACTGCACGGCTGTGAAGTAGCTCTGGGTGAGATAGGATTAACTGCAAAAGTAGGGAACGTCGAAAGTGAGGCTTAAGATCGGATTTGCTCACTTTATTTATTTATTCAATTTAAATATGACTCAAAACTGAGAAAACCATATCTCACCACAGTTAAATGACTGAAAAAGTGCATCAAGGCTTATAAAAAGGATTTATTTGGATTTCATTAACTTACCTTTAGAACAGCTGCAGGAGGAGCAAAAAGGAGGGGAGGAGAGACAAAACAAACGTCAATAAGACAGAAAAAAATGATTCCCAGGTCAAATATTACGTCACATAATATCCTGAATGCCACACGTTTTGTTCGATTAGGGTCAGAACACGGTTTCTGGCTCAGACTCGAGGGAGTCCCGGTGATTAGCTGAACACCGATAAGGAGCTTCAAACTGATGCAATTAGCCAAGAAGTGATGAACCACTCCCTTAACCAGATCAGAAGGTTTGACATGAATTTCTTCCTTTCTGAGGGATAAAGATGAGTCCTGGACACAGACAACAAGAATACAAATAGTTTCTGGTGTAATGACCGATCCAGAAAACAGGAAGTCACACAGATCTGAGGGAAGGGATAAATTTGTGTACGACAAAGCCTTTGCCCCAAAGTGGCATGTGATTAACTTCATTATGGGTGAGGTGGACGGGGAGTGAGCGTGTGTGTGCATTGATCCGTTTTCCAGGTGTCTTTGAAGGAAAACAAAGCAGAAGTTCAATGGAGACATGAAAAGCTCTTATCCAATAGCAAAATAACATTGGCGGAGCTGGAAAGCAGCCAGAATGTGGACCAAACTAATCAATCTGCTCCACTTCAGGACTATACACATACCTTCTGTGGTCTTTATGATTTGTTTTCCTGGTTCTAAAAGAAAGAAAAGACTTTCAATTTTTCATAATTTTCAAAAATTATAGAGCAATCTCGCTGCCAAATGATCACAGGAAGTTTACCGGATCTCCTCCTCTCGTTTCGTCCTCTGAGATGGAAGCTGTCAGTGTGGCAGTGCTCGGCTTTCATCATCCTCTCAGGACTATACTGGTACTTCCCCGCATCTGAGCAACCAAAAGGACACGTCATTAAGTCTCAGGGCTGCAATTATGAAAACTATTTTCTCCACATGGATGGACTGGATATAAGCTTTGGCAGATTAAACAGCATCCCATACTCTCCACAGAAAGCGAACAGCCATTTGCTTTTATTAGCAGCATCCGCGGTTGCTGTGGCAACGGTTAAATGGTCCTGGCATAGCTAGAGATGCTCCATTAGTTACACTTACGGCTTGAATTGTCCACAGTGGCGTCCTTTGCCTTCAAATAAAAGAAACATGTTTTAATTTAGGATTTTTTTCCCCCAGAGAGAGAGAGAGAGAGTGTGTGTGTGTGTGTGTGTGTGTGTGTGTGTGTGTGTGTGTGCGTGTGTGTTGTGAAGGATGATGTTTACCTGCTGTGGTAAGATGGTGTTGTGATTCTCAAGTATGAGCCTCTTAATGTGATGCGCCCAGAGCCGCTTCTCCTCCACAGACCTTGCCTGAAGTGAAACATGCAGGAAGAACATCTTCATCGTTTAACTTTACTGGGTTTACGTCGTCTGGTGAAATCTGACACTCCCGTTTCACTGCTGCAGAATTTAACTGCACTTTCCCATCAACCACTGAGAAGCTGGAAGGTCGTGGACCAGTCGTCTTTAACAGAAGTTTATTCATCTTTTAGTTTCCAAAGTGTGATTATTTTAGTATTTCAAGTGTGCAACATGTGGCTCCAGAGCCACACATGGCTCTTTGGACATTTCACAACGGCTCTTAAAATTGTATTAAATGAGTGCATAAAAGATGTTTTTAATTTCAGCCTTTTGGACATGGCTGTATACAAAATGACAGTAAAAATAATAAACTTATGATCAAAATCATTTAGAAACTGCTGCATCTTACAGAACCTACAGCCAGGACTGAGATTACCTGCACCGTGTGAGGCTGTTTGGGTCGTTTGAAGTGGATAACACTGAAGAGAAGAGGATCCTTGGCATTCTCAAGCAGCATTAAGGTGGAACACTGTAATGAGAAAAGCCAGTGGTTCACTGTGATGGTTTCCCTGTTTTCTTTAGAGGACTTATCACACAGAATAGATTTACTTTACATACAGAAATGTGGATTTTGTAGATGTAGTTTTCCCCTCGTTTCTTGGTGATGAGGAGCATTCTCTCAAAGAGGAAGAGCGTGCGGGTGTTCTTCGCCCTCAGAACAGGAAAGGTGCCTTCCAGAACCAGCTCACCGTAGGTGGTCAGGTCAGGACCCTTCCAGTTGATCAGAAGAGACTGAATCTCCTGTGTGACAAGCACACACACACACACGCACGCACACACGCAATTACAACTACACAAGCTAATCTCAGTTTCTAGCTTTAAAGGGAGACTAGGCAGTTTTTGCTTGCTTTTAGCACCCCCTAGTGTCCGTTGGTGAAAGCAAAAGTGGAACTTATCCTCGCTGTGCATTCGTCTTTTTAACACTTTAATCTAACAGCTGAAATGTCTCCTCAGCCTTCATTAGTGTCTACAGGAGCGATTCATCACTAAATCAAACAAATCAGCTGTGTTCACAATCTAAAACCTGTGGGAAACGTGCTGGAAGCCAGCCGAGACTTACAGGGGATGGCGGGGGTCGGAGTGACATTTCGTTAACCCTATAAAGGGTCATTTTAGCACATAACGGCTCAAGAAAATGATTTGAAAATATGAAAACGTTGCAAGGCATGCCTTCAAAACCTGACCTGACTGACCTGCACTCTGACGGCGTGTTCATGTTTCCTCTTCATATCGTTGATGTACCAGGCCACACTTGTCATGGTGTCTATGGCCTCCTGAACCACCTCATAGCCCTCCTCATCCGGGTCAAAGTGTTTAGCAATTTCCTTTGGAAAACGAATAAGCACACATTAAAGGTTCTCGTTCAGAGAAACCGTGTAATCAGTTATTTTTGAAACAAGGTCACTGAGTTTCACAAGTGTGCTGAATGTGAACATTTTTTCAACCCATATCAGCTGCATTCACTGCAGAAAGGAAAATGACTGGGCCAGTTTCTTTTACATCACAGAGAAAATGAGCATTCGTGGCCACGCCCACCTTGGCTTGGGACAGTTTGATTTAGCGGACAGGAGAGAACGAAGGATCTCGGCTAGGTGAAGCTAACCATTAGCGTCCCCACAATGTTGCATTTTTTACCCAAGGAGGAAGAGTGACTGAAGGCAGCAGAAGAGTCACATGGCTGTTAGCCAATCAGAGGAAAGATGTTTGCATATTATTGAGTATGACTTTTAATCCTGTGATTTTCTACCCCTGTCTCCTCTGAAAAACTTCTAGCCCCTGAAACAGGAGCCTGAGAGCGTTTTTCCACAGAGAAGCACCAGAAATCACAACTAATTTATCAAAAAAAAAAAAAAATTTTTTTAAAGATTGAAGAGACCTTTAACTTCCAACTGTTGTTTTTAAATGTTTTACTGCAGAATGCAATGTTTGGACTCTCAAACTTAGCCAAAGTAACTGATTAAAAGTTGTAGCCTCCAGAAATGGTCAGTTTTTCATCTACAGCGTGACCTCTTCAGTATCTGGTCATTTGGAGACATAAGTCTTAACTGGTGCCTTTAATCTGCAAGAAAGATTGCTTGACCAAGGTCTCTCTCCAGCTTCTTATCTAAGACGGCTTTGCTTCACAGAACAAGAAGGATGAACTTTCATAATTAAATCATACAATGAAATGAACTTTTATAAGAATGAGCCATTAAAATAATGATGAAATGGAATGAACAAAATGGTTAAATGGAATGTTTTGATTAGTGCTTAGACTAATAAGGATAAAATGAAATATATGACCCATATATTTAATCAGCGTATGTGACTGGACAAGACACACTCACCATATCTCCAAGTTAATAACACTGCACATAGATATTTTCTTATCCAAAAAAACAGCATTGTCTTATCTGTGGGAGGTGTGTATCTGAGGTTTGTTGGCAAAACCCATTTTCATGGCAAGTTCGGATTTGTCAGTAAACCAAAATATGGCCGTTATTAAAACAGAATCACTTCCTGAGTGAGTCAGTTGAGCCTAACTCTGACTGGCCATCGGAGGAAGCCTCTTCTCCCATCGCATCTTTTGACAAGCTGTCAAAACCTGTTGCACGCTACAGCTGACCTCAAACGGTTCCTTCAGAATAAAGCGGAACCAGGTCGGACTCCTTAAGAATCCTCTCTAGATGTAAATAACTGCCTGTCGTGACCTGGAGACATCTCGAGACCGGTCTAGTGGCACTGCGGTTTCTTCTACGGACTTCGGTACCTTTGGGGTCCGCGGACTTCCACACATTCCGGATCTACCACGAGGGTCTTCGAGGGTACGTAGACGCGACAGATTGCGTCTGATGTGGTTTTATAAACCATCACTTGTAGCAGACCAAATTCACTCCCACTCAGAACTCAGTTTCTCTAGATACGAAGGATCTGATAACATCACATTCACACATCATCACACCTCAAATTCCATCCACTTAGATTCATTCATCACATAAAGTGTTTCCTAGTTCTCATGTTTTTAATTGTTTAGAAAATAAATTTTACTTTTTATAAACTTGACTCTCTCTGAATTAATACGAAGTGTCTTACGATCCCTGAATAAAATAGAATTCTAAATCTTCTATGCTAACCCTACAAAGTGTTTATTTGAATAAGGAGCATACTATTTAAAATAACAGTCCGTCTAATCCTTGTTACTAAGTTTTTGGTCATAAACGCACCAAGACGGCATGTTTATAGAGTGTTGCTTTACAGATGTTTACCTGAAGGAGCAGGTGATACTTCAGGATCCTCTGAACGGGTTTTAGGAGGTAGGAACCTAACGGAAGAGAGTGTTTCAGAGCCGCCTGCTGATCCTGGAAGAACTTTGCCAAAGTTTCAATCCTCATGCAGTCGGTTAGCGTTGCCACAGAACTGCAGAAAGCAAACCACATTCATCGTCATATCCAACAAAGGAAGCGAAGGGAAAAGGAGCATCTTCTGGAAACTTACTTGGGGTAGTTGTTGCAGTATTGGGTGTAGATTTCAAAATATTCACTCTGAAGGAAAACAAGTCAGTGTGCATTTTCTTGAAAAGTCTAAATGCATTTAATGAGGACGGTTTTGCTTACTTTATTTACAAAACACTGAGCAATGGCCACGGGGTCGTTCTCACACATGTCCAAGCACTGCAGCAGCTCGCTGAAAATACACAAGAAGTCTGTGCTGCAGCCGACCAGAGGAGCTAAAAATGTGCTCAGCAGGTTAAACACAAATGAACACTGAGGGACCGTTCATGATGTTAACAAAATCACCAGTAGATGGCACCCCAGGATCTTAAACTGAAGCTTTTTCACTGATCATAAAATCATTCAGAATATCTGTTCCTCTTTTTAAAACAACTTTTTTGGAAACTAATTAAACAAATTGGCGATTAGACTTTTTTTTATAGCCACCCTGTTATATGTTTACATCTGGCAAAGGACTACGCGAGTTTAAGAAGCTCTAGCATGAGATTTTCAAACACAGAGGACCCTTCAAGTGGAAAATTGATTAAACAAAAGCAAACGAACATTGTGTACTCGTCATGGTACTGTACATAGTACTGTATAAACCCGCTTTCCCGTGGGTGGCCTCCTCTGTACAAACTCCGCAGCAATCATGAGCGAATGCAAAAACCCTTGTTTGCTTTCTGATAAGACCATTTCCTAACAAGGAGGAATAGACATTTTAAAAAAGGTCATGCATGTCAAAATACTTCTGCAAAAATTGTGAAACTTGGTAAAAAAAAGTCATTAAAAAATCATCAAATCCGATCTCGTTGTGAGCCTTGGGGCTGTCAGACAGGCCCGATGTTACGAGAGAGGCTCGAGGAGACAAGAATGTTAATGTGTGTTTTGGCAGCAGCGGGTTTAGCAACGAGCTGCGTGCAGATATATGATGAAACACAAAGACAGCTGCACCAACACTTCCTATAGCTCCGGGCTTTCTGCAACACCGTCTTTCCTGCAGCGCTTTTGTCACCCCGCATCCAGTTTGAGTCACTCAACAAAATGCAAGCCAGGTAAATGCAGGCGACTCGCCGTGTTTCACAACGCAGACGCAAAGATAGTCTATGCAGTGAAATAAATAAACATTATCACGTTTCAACATTAAAAGATGCAGACTTTGGATGATTTCTGTACCTATTGAACTCATAGATGTCTTCTATGTTTCCAAACAGGGCACACACCTGCTCAGGCCGTATGGGCAGTTTCCCCGCATCGATAACGTGAGCCAAATAGTCCTGAAAAACAAACGGATTCAAAGTTTAGCGGTCAAATATTACACAACGCTTCCAAAGTCCTGCCAGTAGAGGACACATGCAGATACAGAAACCATTTCTGACGCAAATCCTCTTTATTTTTTCCTTCTTTTATGTGACAGCTGGTTCCAGCTGATGCTGCTTTAGAGCCATAACACGCAATCTAAATTAAATTAAAAAGACAGGTGCGGTATTAGAACATTTGGTTTTCCCATGGGAAAACTCCAGATCATTAATTGACTTCTTTTAGAAAACCCTTTTAAGGACTTTCCATAAATCAGCAAGCAGAAAGACTTTGAAGAGGCTCAGCAGCACCCAGACTGGACTCCAGCTCCGCTTGTGTCCTTATAAGAACCTCCCAGACCCGAGGAGTTCATCAGGAGTGAATAAAAAAAATAAAGCGTGCCAACAGTTGTTGATTTTGGTCAATTAAATGTTCATGTGGCTAGATAAATACCTAAGGAGTGGGTTAAAGAGGGATAAACAGACACATAAGGAGCAGCTAAACAAATAGGGCACCTTGCACACAAACACACAAACTCCTAAATAATGGCCTGTAAACACACACAGATGCTTAACAGGTTTCACATTACCTGTAAAAGTCTCCAACAAAGGAAAAAAATACTTGTTACGCTAAACACGTGTGACCCTTAGGGTACTATATGGTGCTACAGCCTGCTACTCATTATAGCACAGGCAGTTTCAAGACTGTAACACTGATCTGGGTATTATAAATCACTTTTAAGAGGGGAAAAATGGGTTTTCTGAAAACGACGAGTGCAAGAAACAAAGAAAAGTTCTTGTTTTCAGGGCCTGTTTGGGACAACCGTTGGGGACGTTTGCAGCCTTGTGAAATCATCCCGGGTCAAACAGCTGTTTGGACAGAACGCTGAGAGTAAATCTGAGTGATAGGCTCGCAGCTGCTTTGAAGTTCAGTGCCAGTACCAAGAGGAAGCTATGACTTAGTTTCATACAGAAAAACAAACAAAACAAAGCCAAATTAAAGGAAGTGTTTCACTTGTCTGTCAGATCAACGCCTGGGTGTGAAATTAGCCGCATGGAATCAAAATAGCCGAAGCCAGACTGGAGTCATAAGAGGACAGAGGCTACTTTGTACTCAGCTGTGTTCCCACACTTCAGCATATGGAAATCCCAACTGCACCCCCTTTCATCTGTGTTATTTCTTCAGCTGGTGGATGTATGCACGTGTTTGGGTTGGCTGGGAGAACCTGAGGGTTCAGGCGAGGCTGGGCTGTCGTGACCAAGGCCAGACCTGCTGCTCCTGTCAGCCTAAACGGTCCAGTAAGTCAGGAGCAAGTCGTTACTCAAACTGGATCCAACAGCCTCCCTCAACAAAAGCTCGACGCCAGAAGAGTCCGGGACAAGGCGAGGAGGGGGTGCAGACTGCTTCACTGCCACTCAGCCTCAGAAATACCTCACATGCTAAAGCCATTACTCTCCTCAGACTCACTGCTGAGAGCTCCTGCTTACTTACAAGACGGCAGAAAGATGGATAGAAGAGGTTCGGGCCTGGAAGCTATCAAACTACAAAGACAGAGACGAGGATGTTCGGAGTTAAAAATAAACAAAAAAAAAATCGTACCTGGTTTATTTTTCACATCCTAAGAGCTTTTACTATCACAAATACCTCAGACTAAGATCTGAGAGTCCTATTTTGGCTCCATATGAGCACACAAGTCCACAAGTCGAGACTAGAGGCTGTAAACATTCACTGCGTCGTAAACATATGGTGTTTACACAGAGAACATATGTAGATCATAACCTCCTCTACAGCTTTCATCTTTATGAACTAGAAATCAGTAAACAGCCACCCAGCAGCTGCCAGACGGCTGGCAAATATTTCTGTCAGCTGAGCAATCTGTTTGGAAAGCAGAAAAGTCGAGACAAAAATCCACTGGATTTTCCAAAAGCGTGGAGCCGAGGAGACGTTATTGGCTTTCAGAGATCCAAAATCCCTCCATGCTGGTTTCTGGCCTTTCAAATTCAGACTGTAAACATCTAGTGAACACTGCAGTTGTTATTGCAAGTCAAAAATGCTATTTAACTCATTAACTGCCATTCGTTATTTGCATTTTTTCCACTGTGTGGGCGTCGGACGAGCCCCCGCACCGTGAGAACAAACATCCCAGCCAGCTCTAAAGCCGATCTTCATCCACGTACGTCACACGTCACGTGATCAGGGAGCAGAAAATCCATGTGTTAGGAGATCGTTTTGGGCCGCTGCTGTAAAAAAAAGTGAGGCACGAACCGGAAAAGCTTCTGCTGATCACAATTCAACAACGGGTTGTGAAATAAAGGACAACGCTCGAAACGCGTAGATTCTTCCTGATATAAGAGGCGAGTCTCCGCTTTGTTTTGGTAGTTTGGCATTGACATCATCATAGAGTGCAAGGTTCTGTGATTCTTCAAAAAAAACTGTGAAAACGCTGAAAAACGCTGGCAGTGAATGAGTTAAATGTACAGCGCAAGAAGATCGCAGATTCAAATCCCAGCTGTGGTCTTTCTGCGTGGAGTTAGCATGTTCTCCCCGTGCATTTTTTAGGTTTCTCTGGGTACTCCAGCATCCTCCCACAGATCCTAAACACACGTCAGGTTGGACACTAAGCTGTCCCTAGGCGTGAGTGAGTGAGTGAGTGAGTGAGTGAGTGAGTGAGTGAGTGAGTGAGACTGGTTGTGTGTCTCTGTGATGGACAGGAGACCCATCAGCCGATGACTGCCGGGGTTAGACACCAGCTCCCTGACCCTATGAGGAATGAGCAGCTTGGTGAGCGCGTGAGTGAGCGTACATTCACCTCTACGATGCTGCTCAGGTCTTTCACGTACATGCGCTCCGTCTCAATGATCTCCATGACAACGCGGTCCACATAGGTCAGTTTTGGGTTGGGTGCCATTGTATCCGTGACAACGGGAGAGGAGATGATGTGAGATAATGTACCACCCGCTGTCCTGCAGGCAGTAGCGTCATTGTTGTTCCACTGGTTGTTGACCACATCTGCCTCCAGCTGTTGCCGCCAGCGACCCATGACGGGGGTACTCCGATTACCGACCTGCTTCTTGTTGCTTTCTGCTGGACTCAGTTCTAGGTCTATGTCCTCCTCGCTGGGTATGGGAGGTGTGGTGGAGGATAGAAGGGTCACTGTACTTCCAAATAGACTTTGACTATCGTGAGATGAACCAGAGGACAGGGTGGACACCAGGCTCACCGGACGCTCTCCCTCCCCGTCCGGTGGCTCATCATAAACGCTGTAATAATCTGGGCTTATGTTATCCTGAACATGGTCACTGGTGGAGAGGGGTGAGGACAACTGAGGAGATTCTGGAAACAGAAAAAGGAAAATTGTCAGTTTTTAAAAACTGTAGAGAGCAGAGAAAACATAGAAAATAACCCTTTAACCCCAAAAGCCTGCAGCAGATCGCTGGTTTAAGGGTGCAAGATTATGTGACATTTAGCAGCACACATTGGATCTGAGCCAATCTCTTAGTATGTCACTTTCTTTATTTTTCAGTTCCTTATGGAACAACATTTTACTTAATGAAATTTTCAATAATGACTTCCTTTTGTGATTAGCCTCCAAATATATTAGATGCAGCAATTCAGGAGTTGAGAGCTGCTCCAATTTCTAACGTTATTACATCAATGTCTGCCGACGGTTTCTGGCTGAGCTCGTATTAACAAGGGTTTGAACAACTTGAAAACTAATACTAGATGTAAAAACTGTCACTATTGTTTTGCATTTGTGTATTCACAGACTAGAGAAATGTCAGACGATTCGTTGACAACGGTGCTTTCAGATGAACCAAAGGAGTCCTAGAAACTGATCTTTGGCGTTTTATATATATGAAACTTTGTTGGGGCTCAGAATGACCAAGGAGCCCCAGCGAATGACCAGATGCATCCCCAACAATAGAAGAACTGGTCATCCTGCCCACTTGGCCAGGACATGAGCAGCGTGCTGATTGGCCCATGGATCTTTGACACCGCCTGAAGCTAGAGACTCTGTACAGCCGTGAACAGTCTCCAAAAAGTAGGGATGGACAATATATCGGCGTCAATATCGGTATCAGCCAATGTTAGTCATTTTTTAAAATATCGGTAATGGTCAGAAGAAAAAAAAGCGGGCCGATATTATCAACCGATATTTTTTTCCATCTTTTCACCATTTGTTTGCCTGTTTCAGAGGGTGAGGGGGGTGATGTGTATTTGTTTAGTCACGTCACAGTGATTGTAAAGTGTAAATGTGTGTAGTGTGTGTACATAATTACGTAAATTCAGCTTCAATCAGTTTTATTCCATACAAAATCGGATGATTTTAGAAGCATTAAAGCCAGTATATCGGTATCGGCCATAACCATGATCTTAATATCAGATATCGGTATTGGCCCAAAGGTTTCTTATCGGTGCATCACTACCAGAAAGCTCAGCCATGGATCTATCTGGCACTCATTCAATGTCTGGATATTCCCAGTACACCCTAGAACGTTGCATCTGTTGACATACTGTTCGCTGGTCTCGTCCAACGTTAGCAGTAGCTCATGCTAGCATTGTTATATGGTAAGTATAACCGTTAATATGTTGCACTGAAGTGGGTTGGAACATGGTGTGCTTGTTATACCAGCTTTTCTCAGAACAAATCGTTTCGCCGTGGCCATTACAGCATTGCTCTTTTGTATAGGAAAGCAGGTCGAAGATGTCACAGACTTTTTGTTATGCATTGTTAGACACCGCAAGCTGCCTTTATTCAACAACAACAACAACAACAACGTTTTGAATTCCAGGACTCTTAGGTATGTCTCTATCTACATTGACCTGCAGGACCCACTTAAGAGGCCTGCATTTCTACTTTGAGTCTGAAACAATGAGCTGTGTTTTACAGTAACAGAGCGGCCACAAACCATTACCGGCATGGCCTAATTGCAACACTGCCCAGCCTATGGAAAACCCAACTATTTCATCTTGTTCTCCCAACTACTGAAGGCTGAACCTTGAATAAACACAGCAAATGAAAACTGAAGAGATTTTTTTTAAAGGCGGGGAGACCAGAAGCTTTGTTTATGTGTCTTTATGGAACTTTGTCAGAAGTTAAGAGAAATTTAATCCATATACAGTTTCACACACTCTTCCTGGCCAGATGGGGAATTTTCCTTCGAAGCGTTTCCTAAATATATGAACTCATGAGAGTGTGAGAATGGAGCACTGAGCTGCCACTGTGCACAGAGCACCATTTCCTTAAAGGTCAAAGAGGCCAAAAACCTTTTCTGCCAAGCTAAAGAAACTAAGTTTTGTCATTTCACTAGACTTCAGACTAATAAATGGAAACCTATGAGGTATAAGCCCACCTTAAACTAATCATTGAAATGCCTCGAGTAGGTGATGTTGCCAAGCGTGGATGGAGAGTATAATTTGGTGTTGATAACTTGCAGATGTAGCTCACCGTTTCTCTCTGAGTGAAGACAAGCTTCCAACCAAACACCATTCTCATCTTATGTACATCTTTCCACAACTGTCAAACAAACTTTAGGGCGTTGAGACAATAAAACCACACAATACTTTACAGTTAGACATTTGCCCATATATTTATATGGTTCCAACTGCAATAAATTAAATAACCAATAGTTGGTATAAAAGGAGGCTAAACAGGTTTAGAAACAGTTGAAGCTGGACGAAAAGATCAACATGAAAACACAAACTTCCTTTCAGTTCTCACACACACACACACACACACACACACACACACACACACACACACACACACACACACACACACACACACACACACACACACACACACACACACACACACACACACACACACACACACACACACACACACACACACACACACACACACACACACACACACACACACACACACACACACGCGCGCGCATGCACGTTTTGGCATACTTAAGCTTTCCATGAGTCAGTCCTGAGCTCATGTTGTTGAGTTTTTGCTCTACAGTCCACACCAAAGCACCAGTTCCCATGCTGAACCTCTCTGGGAGAAACCGATGAGCTGGCAAGCATGAGCTGACCACTAGAGAAAGCCGTTTACGCTCTGTGACAAATCAGAGGGTTCATGGTGTAAAGGGAGTGTAGCGGGGAGGTATTACACTCACTACACAAATATGAATTAAGACAAAGCATCTGCTTCCTCTGCTGTGTCTGGCTGTACTTTGGGTTTTCAGCCTTGCCGTGTTTGGCATGTGAATCGCGCTTCCTCTTACCATCGCTTCCTCCCACCCAAAATCCCTCTATAATAAAGCTGCTGTGCTGCGGACTGCCAAGTTAAAAGTACAAAGAGAAGCAGCACATCGTGGCCTGTCCAAAATAAAACCATGCACTCCCCCGGCAATGCAGAGAAACACTATTTTGCATCATTAATACAAATCATGCATGACTAAACTGCTTAAAAAGTTAACACTGGTTGCACACAGGAGAAATCCTGACTTATCTGAAGTCTGAAACACTTCAGGACAAGCTCAACTTCTGCTGCAGCTTTGATTGACCACTTCAGATACGGCTCCACAGGCAGGAATTATCTGCAGCTGATACCAAACCACATGTTTTAAGGAGAAATGGAACTGCTGAACCGAATGCTGCCCATGTTAAAACAAGCCAAGCAGAGGAATGCAAATGACCTGGTTATCTCAGACAAGCTGAATGCCTGGTCCCGTGCAAAGCAGTGCAAAGTGTTTCCAGTCTGCTTGTTGCCTTGGAAAAACATGAGGTCATCAGCAGTGCAGTCTGCATCGCCTGTGACTTCCACTTAATTGAGAGGGCTGCTTTTTGTTAATCCATTTTCCTCTTGTCGCAAATAAACAAAATAATGAAGAAAATACGTCCATGCACATTATGTTGTTAGGCAACTGCACATCTCTCACATGTATGAATATTCATGAGTAATCTTTTAGGGATTTGAAGCCACACTGGCAAAACCAGTACTCTAGTGTGCCACCCTGCCATCAGATGTGGAGAGTCGGGATTGGTTTGGTGTCAGACTTAGTTCTTTTAAATTACACACAGATTTAAAGGGACCATAAGGAAGTTTGACAGCCAAAACATGTATAGAAATAATAAATGTCTTCTTCATACATTCTCCTGCAATGCCCTGGTCCTGTAGAATGAGCCCTGGCATTTTTACTGTGATTGCCTGTTTTTCTGTAAAATCACAGAAAAAGAGAGATGCTCGGGTCGAGCAGGCTGCTTCATGCGCGTTCACGCTCAAGCATAGCCCGTAGCGTTTGCTATCAGTAGCTTTAGCAGCAGAGAGAGGTAGTACCAACTCAGAGACTTTGTCGCTGTTCCTAGCACCTAGTGATGAACCGAGCTACATTTCTGAGGACCCTTAGCAACTTTCTGTAGAACTTTCTTCTAGATATTTCCAGCAAATTAGCAACAAAATAGCCATTTTCGCTTCGAACCGTTCTTTGGTTTTACGTTGTTTCAGGTGTCATCAAGGATATAAAAGTTACAGATACTGTGAATGCTACTAGAGTGAAGCTCACCTCGTAAGATGTCTGACTCTCATGCAGAAGACCTGGGTTTGACGCTGGATGTGAACAGTTCATTTAGAGTTTCTTTTTTACATTAATGGTATTTTTTTTTACAGTAAGACGCCCTATTTTTTTTTAGACTCGCCGAACGGCATTGAATTCACAGATAAAAAAGATGTGGGTTCAACTTTCATTATGGAACAATTTTTCAAGCAAGGGAAGGGAATGATCTGAGCATGCAGGAGGACTGACCCATCTTAAACCTTTGTCGGCTGTGCTGAAGAGAAAGGTACAGAACCAAATTATTTAATTAATTAGCTGCACGTTCTCCTGTTCTCTGTCCTCTGGGCCACACACACACACACACATGGGACTGTCTCAGCTGTTATTTTCGTTAAGGAGTGTGCACGTACAGCATGCGCGCCTCGTGCACGAGCCTACTATCGAAGCTGCCATTACGCTTTTGGCCTGAGGGGGCAATCGCAAGCATAAAAATTCAAAACTCCGTAAAGTCCCTTTAAGTCTAAGGAAAAGTGATCAGAATGCACTTTTGTATGCACCTCTGTTCAGAACGTTCCCTTCCATGTACCACTGTTCTAGTCTAGCCCTTCTTATGTTGGGTGGTTTTATTGCTGTGCCTCTGAGGCACTGAGCTAATATTTAATAGTTCCAAGCACAAACATGCATAAAATATTTATTACATCAAAGCAATATGACCTTCAGCTATGAGAACACATAAAAGTACAATTTTTACATTTTAATGCAGTTTGTCACCAACAATAATAACAGTAGAAGGTTTCATTCCAATTAACTGCAGATAAACTGAATATTAATTTATGTTATACGTTTGCTTGTTAAATAAGTAAGTAATCAAATGTAATATCTATGTTAATGAGGTTTGACTGCTTGAATGGCACACTAGCTCTGGTTTAGGAAGGATTTTTGGATTGGGCCAGGGATCACGGCTACACACATATACCGTGGATATATAGTGGTTTACAATAAAATCCATTCAGATAAGCCTAGGCAATCATTTTCAAGTCCCACTTCTCTTTGTTTCAGTTATGCATCAATCTAGATGTTAACCTATGTAATCCTTAACCAAGTCTGTAGAACTAGTATAGTCATCAAACCACAAAAGTAAACCTTTTCAAAGCTATACTTAGACTTAAGTTGTGAAGATCAGGTGAGTCAAAAACAATGAGCAAATATTTTGGACCAAAATTATTTGGATTCCAGAAAAAAAAACACCTCCAACCTGTAATTATAATTCTTTAAATTCCATTTTCTGACAGTTGGAGCGACAAAAATGTGTTACAGCTAGAATTTCCTGGAATAAACTCACAACAGCTTCCCGACAACAATTATGTGACTTTTTCTATTTAAAAAAAATGTAAAAAACAAACATTATGAGTTTTTGTATGAAGTGATGGTGTTTTTCCTGTGAACCGCTGAAACGAGAGTACAGAAATTGGTTGGAAGGGCCTCTTTTCTACCTCTGAGAGCAGATCTCCACAAATACACTTGGTGACTAGTCAGTCTAGAGCTAATAATGTAAAGCCTTCACTTCTTTTCCTTTGAGTCGGAGCTTATCAGACAGTTAACAAGGCAGACAGTTCATAAACACGTCTACCTCTGACATCACGGAGAGCCTTATAGGGGAGACTGAAATATGAACAGCACAGCACCTGGTTATTAAGTTTAGAAAAAGGCCGCTGTTACACGCAGGACAGGGACGGTCTCTGTCTGAAGTTGTTGGTGTGATGAACACAAAGAACTCCTTTATAGCAAATTCTCTGGCTTCTGCTAAAAGTACTTTTGCATTCTTAGTTAATGACAGACGTATCTTATAAAACAAACAATAACCGCTACTGACAAGATGTGGCGTATACCGATGAGCTGATTCCAGCTAAAACTTAACTATGTTTGCTGCTTGTTGCGAAACCCCGAGATGATGCGATGCTTTGTCTTCTGATAAGTTCATGCAAACCAGCTTCTATGCAAATAAACATGCAAATTCTACCCAAGACAAACACAAGTTTTCTTTCCTTCCACATGTAAAGTCGCCACCTATGTGCGTCGTGCAGCACAGAAAGCTCATGATGGTTCCATGTATGGTGCATTGCATGACTGTGATACAGAAAAAGGTGATAAAAGCCAACTCACAATTATTCTGCAGGTTCCAAACTGTCTTATGAAAGAATTTCAGCATCAAGACAAGACTGAAATCGTTGCCAAGCAGAATTTTAACTTTTACAACACTTGCTTCAACCTAATCCAGTAATGTGATGCATTCCTACAGGTCTTAATGTAGTAATCCTTCCATACCTCCTGGTAAAGCTGATAAGTTTTCCAATAAACTGATGACTCAGGAAGATCTTTAGACCGCTTTTGTTTCTGATCACCTTTCCAACTCCTCATATTGCTGTGACTAACTGGAATAGGACAATGAGTCTGCCAAGAGACACACCTGGATCCCTTATTCCTGAATTAGCTCTTGATAACCAAAGCTACTGATACATTTCCCTCCGTGCCACACCATCTGGCTCGAGGCCTTGAGTTTTCTAAGCAAATAAGGTCCAAAGAAGCAGCACCGGCTGTTTTATGTCTAGCATGCAAATTCTTCTCTGAAGGCTAAATAAACTTAAAGAAAAAAACCATACAACCAAAGAAAACCAACATCCCATTCAGCAGAAGCTAGTCTTAAAGAGAGCCGTCATCCTAGCTAGTTCTTTTTCTTTAACTTCCAACGATTTTTCCTAAAGAATAAAGCGAGCAGAACAGTTACGTAAAAGAGAACGGACTATTGACAGAACATCCCACTGACAAAACATGCCTCTGCCTGCTCGGGAGTCGACCTACACACAGCCGTTCCTGCCTGAATCATTCTGACTCATTTATCAAACGCTGATGAATCTAAAGCTGGAGGAAGTTGAATCACAGCTAAACTCACCTTGGGACATTTGTCTAGAAGCCTGCTGTAACATGACCAGTGGTGGTCATCTTTGAAAAGCGGTGCTGGTACGGCAAAGGCAGCATGATGAATTTGTTTTTTTCTTCATGTTATTATAACTCTCATCAAACACTCCCTCTATTCCCACAACCTTATCAAAGAGCTGCTCCAACATGGAAATAAAAAAATAAAACATTTGCTACATGATACTGGAATCTCGATTATTTAACTCAGTGAGTTGGGAAACACATCCGGAGATCACGTTTTAAGGAGATTGCAGATTTAACCCAACAGATAGCAGAATCGTGCCGTTCAGTGGTAATAAACTAAAACTTTCAGACAGAAATTATTTGCATCACACAACAATCGGTACAAAATACCAATAAAAAGCATATGCTTAGTTTATTTTATTTTACAACATGAACAACTTTTGTTCAAAGCCTCAAATAGTTGGCAGAAAACAGCCATCTCAAACAAAAATGGCTTTTTGCATCCACAAAATAATGTTCTCCAAAAAAAATGGTCCGCAACAAGTCTTACATTCACTATTGAACATAATAGACTGTTAAAATCCTTCTAAAGCATCTCTTTCTTACAAGGTTGTCATCATAACCTCTGTTAGCATCCTCATGTCTCCAAACTTCTGGTCGATATCTGATCCAATAGGTGAATATTTACCCTCTGCTGAGGTAAAAACTATTGGCCGATAGGTCTTGCGTCATGTCCCCCATTTTCACATGGGTAGCTTTAATCAATCGCAGTATTGCTGGTTGAACATGTCGAGTTGTCCCACATCAGAGAGTGACCATCATGGACACGTACATGATGATGCCGATGCTCAAACCTAACCTTGTGCAGCTCAAAAATAAAATATGTCACATAAATCAAGAAAATGCCATCTAATGTTTTTTTTACTTAACTGCTCAGTTAAATTAATAAATCATGCTGCTACAAAAGTAAAGAAAAGCTGCGACGGGAGCCCTGATGTCCAAAAAGATGTGTTTTACCAGAACTCAATGGGAAGTGTTGCAGGACACCACCTAATCATTTTGGTCAGTTGTGCTGCTTTTGTGGTCATTTTGGGCCAAACTCAAAACTAAGTTGGTTAACTCATTCACTGCCATTGACGACTAAAGTCGTCATTTTAGATCCAACCGTTCACTGCCATTGACGACTAAAGTCGTCATTTGCATTTTTTTTTTTACTGTTTGAGCATCGGAACGAGCCCCCGCGCTGAGAGAACAAACATCTCAGCCCTGAAGCCGATCTTCATCCGCATATGTCACACGTCACTTGATCAGGAAGCAACACATCCATGTGTTTGGAGATCGTTTTGGGCCGTTCCTGTAAAAAAAGTGAGGCGCGAACCGGAAAAGCGTCTGCCGATCACAATTCGACAACGGATCATGAAAGAACGGATAACGCTCGAAACACGCGGCTTCTTCCTGATGCAAGAGGTGAGTCTCCTCTTTGTTTTGGTTGTTTTGGCATCGACATCATGCTAGCGCGCAACGTTCTGTGACTCTTAAAAAACAGTAAAAACTGTGAGAAACGCTGGCAGCGAAGGCTGTTAGTGATCAGGAAACGGCTGCCAGTGAATGAGTTAAAGAGCAAGTCACTCCAAATCACCATTTTTTTGCTGATGAACTAATAAATGAGTGTCCAATTGTGCTGTAGACAAATGTAGTCAATAATTCTGCACTTTAGTGCATCTTAGTTAAAATTAAATATTCTGCCTAAAACTGTCAGCGATGCACCGTCGTCAGGCAAAAACTCAGCACTGCATTTGAATTTTAATCTGCCATCGCTATTGGCTAAGAGGTACACTATGATGTTAGATGGTACATTATGATTTCACAATGTCGTGAGTGTGTGTATTTGTTAGAGGCTCCGCCCTCTAGGTCTGCTAGGCAACAGCATTTGTTGCATTTTTCAAACAGAAAGTGGGAGTTGAGTAAGAATCTGGCAGGGGGTGACTTGCTCTTTAATTGCACTCCTCATGCCTTTCAGAATAAAACATTTATTAAGGTTGAAAGATGGGTGTTTGATTAGGGTTGTCACTGTTATGCAAACGAGGAAAAAATAATAACTATTTCCAACCAGAAGCTAATCCATTAACTAATCCATCAGAGCCAAGATGAGTGTGTGACCTGGTTTCCTTGAAAGAATAAAGCTTTCATCAAGCCTTCACACCCCTCAAGAGCCATTCTGAATCGCTTTTCCCCAACAGATCTTTACAACCTGCTGCTTCGCCAGTGGCTGAGAGGTGGTCTAATCTCCTTAAGGAAAACTCCTCCCCACCTGGCAACGGTGAATGACCACCCCTCGGGAGGGCGTGAGGCGCCAAAGAGAATTAGGCCCTCAGTCTTCACAGCCCATTATCAAACAGCGTGAATCCAAACGCCACTGGTCAAGGACCAAGCCCGATGGCCTGGATTGATTTGTTATTCCTCGACGGAGGAAAGAATCCGGGTCAAGAGTTTTACACAGTCTTTCATATGTACAAGTGGGCCTGTTTGCAGCTGTGCTCAGGCTCACAATGAGCTTTTAATATCGTGTTAATGTTAAGCCCGGCGGTGAGTAAATAAACCTCTGAGGAAAACAGAAGGCCAACAGTGATACACACTGAACCTGCATTCCTCGCTGACATTCAAGGTCAAACTTTTTTACTGGAAGTGGGGAATTCTGGAACTCTAAAGTAAAAATGAATTTATCTTTGTATCATCCTATTTTAAGTCACTTATTTTTTTTCAGTTTTTGTTTTTTTATTTTAACCAAATAAACTCTCAGCCTTACAATTACTTTTAGATAATAATAAACAGAAAAATACCATTTAGACTGGATCAGATCGCACGTTTCAGATTTCTTAAAGCACAAAAATGACAAAAGTCCTTCAAATGTTTACATTTAATCCTTTAAACCCCAGTGTTCTCAACCTCTGCCTCTTAAACGACCAGCCGTGCCAGCTGACCTCAGTTCACAGGCATGTGATGATCCACTTTGGAAACGCCTCCATCACCAATACCCCCCCCCCCCCCCCCCCCCCCCCCACCCCCGCAAGATCTCCTCAACCTTTCTGCACAGCAAGCCATCCTGAGTCGGTTTAGACAACACACACTTCTGAGGTGAGGAGTCATTTGCAAACATTACCACCAATTTGTCAGTCCGCGGTTGCCCTGTTAGTAGCTCACTGTGGAGTCCACACAGTTTGGAGGCTTTTAGACCGCTGAGTGAGGTGTGGAAGCAGCATTTCCTCAAAGCATCATTTTTAAAGATCTCAATCCTTTCTTTGAATTAATTTTCTGTCTGTATAATTTGAATAAAGGCCTTGTGAGTCGTTCTGAGGGTAAAAAAAAATAAAAGCTCTGGTGCTCCTGTTTTAGGGGTTAAAAATTCATTATAGGAGTGAAAAATGGCAAGATTTATGAGTCTTATTAAAGTTATGCAAATGTCTCGCCTTTGATTGGCTAACGGCAATGCGGCTCTTCTGCTACCGTCTCCTTTCTTGGGTAAAACATGCAAAGTTGATGTGTTGTCCCCAATAATCCACCAGCCTCCTCTAGCTGTGATTTGCTCTCCCCTGCCTGAAAAATAATCACCGCCTTCCGTAGTTGCAAACCAAGATGGACAAGTCCAAAAATGCCAATTTTCTCTGTGATGTAGAAGAGACTGGCCTTTTCTGACCTTCCCATTCTGTGACTAATGCAGGTGTCGAAGAAAATGTTCACGTACAGCATGAAGCTCAGCGTGACCAAAGAACAAGTATTATATGCTTTTCAGTGAACGAGACCTTTAATACCATTTTCACTGCGTGCACAAAGAACCTTATGGGGATTTTCCCTCCAGTTTAGGTTTGGTGCAAAATGGCAAAAGCACCATCATCAGATTCTTTAATAAGACGCATCTTTGCTTAAAAATGTAAACTATATTAAGTTCGGAGGAAGTTCAGAAAGACGATTTAAATTCAATTAAGTTTCAAAGAGGCCATAAAACAGGAAGTAAAGAGCCTGCGACTAATGTGGGTAATTCACCAACTCAACTGTATAAAAGGTCTGCTGTTGTGGAAGGCTGTAAAACATTTACTTTTCTTTTTTAGAGAGTGTGGGTGGTTTGTGACATGGTATATAATCTATATAGAGCTTTTACAGATATGCATGAGTTGAAATCTCCTCTGAACAGGTGTTTCTGAAGTCTCACCTGAGGCTAAATTAGGGCTGAACAATTTTAGAAAATAAACTAATTGCGATTTGTTTTCTTCAATATTGCAATTGCGATTTAATTTCCAATTTTCTTCTCAAGGGGCTTTTCTCATTTTTCAACCAACGGAAGCAAATGAAGATCTATGTTACTTGTACTGAATATAAACAAGTTTATGTATCTACATATATCAACAAGTTTATTTGTCTACGCATACGAGAACACTCACAAGTAAAGACAACATCTTGTATTTGAAGGTGCAATGCTTTGCAGCCAGGAGCACATCCCTTGAAGGAGAATAGGTTATTAGCATCAACTGTGAAAATTTATTTGCAGGAAAGAAGTGTGTCCCATTTACTGAAGTCTTTTGTGTTTAGTTTTTGACGTCTTGTCCATGCAGAGCTTCCGTAGTTCAGTTACGTTCACAGCTGCTAGCCAAAACTCAGTGGAGTTTAATTAGTTTTCTAGCTTTACTAAAATGTCTGTCTATACTCATTTGATTAATGACAGTTTTTACTTTTTATTAGACTCCAAATGTAAGAATTTGGCACGTTCCTAATTCGTAATTTGTAAGAATCTATTCGGCGATATTAGCATTAGCATCCCTATGGATTTTTCAGTGTATATTAGCATCGTGCTAACCTCTCGCTGCCAGTCAAATCGCAGCCTTTGTGATTAGAAAATCTCCTTTTGTCACATCGCAATTTAATTGCATATGCAATCAATCGTTCAGCCCTAGTCTGCATGGGATTTACGCTACAGGCAATTAGGCAAAGAAAAGAGTTCCAGTTCGCAAAACCCCATCAGCAAGCCCACGCATCCCTGCCAGCCTCTATCCATGTCCACAAGCCAATGCCCACTGGTCCGGAAAAGCTGCAGTGAATGGAGATGATCCACGAGTCCCCCCACCCCCAGAAGCCCGTTAAAGCTGTACATTCTGCACACGCAGCTACATTCCTGATGGGGGTTAAGAAGGTCGGAGCCTTGGTGATTTTTTAATGCAGCATCAAGTCTGTCAAGGTCTGAATAAACCACCATTATTCAAATGACAGCCTTGATATCCATTTCTTCAGATGCTGGAATATATTTCACATATGGGCTGTATAATATCACGTTTCATCTTGGTGATGAAAGTTTTACTTTCGCAGAAAGTACGAGGGTCCCGTTATGACGTCTATGTCTGGGAAAATAGTTAAAGTACAAAGAAGAGAAACGGATGAAATATGCCACTTCAATTCATCTGGAACGTCAAAGTGAAACAATCCTTCAACCCCCTCAGAGCTGATTGTAACAGCATCCTCTTTAATGGTTTACCTTAACCAGACAGGGGGCTTTCTTTAACCGTCTGCATTCCTTTATCTGGCTAACGACATCTAGTCATCGCCTCGCACAGACAGCTCTGCCCCTAAATTACCACCCATCCATCAGCGGCAGGAGAGCTGGGTCTGTCACACTTTAACAGCAACTTGTTCATGAGAAAAATCAGTCAGCTGCAACTGAGTCTTTCATCTTAGCATTTGTGAATTTGCACAAGCTGGAAAAAAGCTGTAGAGTGGCCTTTAGAGGAAACTTAGACAGAATTTGCATGAGGGCGGCACACGTTTTCCTCAGCCAAAAGCCGCCTCTGGCCAAAGCTAAAGCTAAGGGATGGACGCAGAGGGAAAAATGCAACCATTGAACAAGTCGGTATCCTTCAGCCAATGTTGAAGCCCAGAGCCAAATGTGCTCAGTAGAGACGAGAGGAGGGGGAGATGGTGGGTTGAAGGCCAGAGCAGACAGATACAAAGAGGTCTTGTGTCAATGTGCGACTAAAGATTATAAACACTAAAATAACAAGCAATCTGAGTAGCCTCTATCGTACAAGGTCAGCACGGCTGGCTACACAAACCAGGTTGTCTGGGATTCTGACAAGTTCTGGTTTGATGTTCGGGGGTTACAGCTGTATGAAGGGGGTTGGCTGAGCTCCACAACCACACAAAGAGCCTCTCTGCCAGCAGAGCGTGTAGGAGGGGAGTTCATTTCGCTTTCAGATTGCCTCTCAAAGCTTCTACATTTCCTCTTTTCCTTCCTTTCTAGCATTCTTTCCCTTTACCTCTGCGGCAGACGGTGTTTTATTCAAGCATGTTGTCTTGGGTAACCATCCAGCAGCCAAAAAACAAACAAATCACTTTTCAGAGCTCCATCTCACAGAAAAATTATTTACTGGATAAATTTAAGAAAGATCACAAAAACATGAATAAACTGATCTTACCTTCCCCCATTGGGCCCGGGTGAAAACCAGAATGGGAGCCCTCTGGCATGGCACACAAATCTCTGGAGTTGACAAAACAAAACACAATTACTCTGACATGATCCAGACATTTAACTTACAGTAAATACAGTGACGTGATGTTTATCTTTCTCAAACATTTGCGTTTTATTTTGTACTCATCGTCTTCTCTGAAATGCAAAGCTAACTCTGCTCTTGCAGAAATGGAGAGTTCTTCCCATCCTGCTGCCCTGTGCTGGCTCAGGCTCGCTGCTTTCTAATGCAAAGTGATGTCTCTGGGCTAACTGATGCTAATCAGAGAAGAAGGATGTGAAGTGAGTCCAACAGAAAAAAAAAACTGTTTAAATCCTAAATATGCATCATTTGTTAGAATAAACTTGTAAATGTTCACAATTTGTTTGTATAAACGTGTTTAAAATCCATGAAACACCAAATGAAATCACTTTTCACCAGTATACCCAATAGGGATAACTGGTTCAACTCCATTTTCCCATATAGGAGCACTGTTCTTCCACTTTCTCACAACTCACAGCAAACCAACAAAATGCAAGCTAACTCGTTCCAAAGTGATCCCCGACGAGCCCCGGGCCCTTTAAAAAAAAAATCACATTCTTGGGTCAGCTAGATCTGAAGGGCAGAAATTCTTCAGGGATTAGGATGGTCATTGTTCCTAGCTGGATCTGCAGGCCACTGTGCCGAGCCGACAGCCGGGCCAGCCGAGGCCAATCGAAGCTCGCTTACAGGAGTTTCTCCAATTAAGATGTGCAGGAATGCAAGGATAGACGTCACGGAGCTGGATGTGGGATTTATAGGGCTCGTTCAATGAGAAACCATTTAATACTTGTTCTTTTCACATCACAAGCATGTGGAGCGTGAAATGTTTCTTCAACTCCCATCGCCTGTGTGAGCCACAGAATGGAAAGACAGGAAAACGATTGAGTCGGAAAAAGCTAGACTCTTCAAAGTCACAGGAATAATTAGCATTATTGACCCCACCCACCCACCTAGCCTTGGGACAGGCTGTACTAATTTTGCAGCCGGGAAATAGAGCACATCTTGGTTAGTAGAAGCTAACCATTAGCAAAAGCAACTCCACAACATGGCGAAACACGTTCGAAACCTTTTTTGTCGAGATAAAACATCAACATGCATTTTTTAACTAAGGAAAGAAAAGTGAACAAAAGCAGCCCAAGAGTTGTGTTGCCATTAGCCAATCAGATTCACCATTTGCATATCATGAATATTAAAAAGACTCCAAATCTTGTTGTTTCTAATCCCCATTCATCTGACAAACTTCTACCCCCGGAAACAAGAGCGCTAGAGCTTTTTCCTCAGACAACCACTCAGACTTTTCATACTAGAGATCACAGCAAATGTGTTAAAAAAACTAGTGAATCAGAGCTTCCCTGCTTCACTGCAGGACAGGCTTATGAGCTTTGCCTAATGACACTATTATTTTTTAACAAATTACAAGAAATACAAATAAAACTTTGAGCTTATGCTCGGTCTCATC